TCTTGCAAGCAAGTTTGAGTTATTTCAAGTTGAAGAGACTCACATGGACATCTCTTGCCGACAGTGATACACTGCTTTAACGCACGTGGCCAAACGCCCTTGAAGCGGTTTTGCACCGGTCAGCAGTGGACTTGGGCCCCCGCAGGGGTACGCTGCACCCCCAGCATCGTGTCCCCCACTGCTTCTAGCACTGCAGCAGGTGTCTGCTCCCAAAGCCCCGTCAGCAGCTCTGCCCGCCTCTCCCCTCCGCTCCTCCGCACTCCCCCTGTCCTTGTGGGAACCTTCGTAGGTGCCTCTCTGCAGCAGCAGATACTTCCCCACCTTCTGGATCTCCCTTTCCATCTCTCACACACGTGCTCCACCCCACTCCAGCTACCCAGGTACAACTAGAGAATCCTTCTGTAACGGCCGGTGACCAGTAAAAGGATCTGTAAACCAGGAAAGCAGAAGGCAAGCTCAGATCTCTGCAGTAATGATAACGCCCTTAGTGACCATGGAGACTGGAAGAAGAAAGCCACCTTTGTCTCAGAAAACAATTCCAGTTGCCTAAAATAAACAAGAAAGGAAAAAAAACCCACACCAAAACCAAGCACACACACCTTAGATGGGTCTGCACAAACGTTGGCCAACCACAGCAGTACTCCAGTGGAAGCACCTTCTGCTTATGGCCATGGAAGCAAAGACAGATTTATCCCTCGCAGAGCGCAGACCCCATGGTCCAAACCAACGAGTCCCTGGCGTGCTGCTCGGCGCCACTCACCACCCCAGGAACCACGCCGTGCTGCTTTAACACCCTCCCATCCAACAGCCACAACGACTGCCCAGAACACGCTCTGCATCCCACTATTCCAAGAGGGAAACACCACAATAACTGTTTCTAAAGTCCCTTCACTTCAACACATTCAAGTAAATTTGAGGCACTAATTAAAGAAGTTTCTGTAAGACCCTACGAGGCAATTAGGCATGGCAATCTTACCTCCTCCTGAGACACAGGCAGGAAAAACTGTCCTATTAAAGATAATACAGGAGGTAGCAAATAAACCTCTGCTTTCATGATGTGGAGTGTTTGTGATATTTTTTAACATTTAGACTTATTAAAAAAAAAACCCTCAAAGCAAACAAACAAAAAATCTACCATATCACCCTGTGTAGCTGTGGCCCTAATTTTGCCATCTAGGTTATCAATTTAAATTGAATTGGATCTTGGGTGACACCTTAAAGAAAGAAAATCCTTATGCAGATTTTATTAAAGGAAGACCATTCTATTTGTAGAAAGATTACTTTGTAGAGCCAACAGAAATACACAGCTTCAGCATTAGAGTACTTCCCAGAAGTAAGGAGAAGCTAAATACTGCATAGAGGACTAATTTTCTTCATTTTGATGCTTATTATAGAACTGTTTTACTGCCCCAGGTATTTCTTGACAGTGTTTTAAATTACAGATCAACTCGGGCAAAACTGGGATCTGTTAATAGCGGGTGGCCTCTCCCTTGCTTTTACGGAGTGCACATTTTATTCTCCTTTACAAATACTGGCCATTTTGATCAAAATCATCATGGGACACCCGCCTCAAAGGGTGAAAGGACAGAAGCATTAAATCAATTCCCTAGGCAACCTCCCAAGCTGAGCCAGTATTGTTAAAATAATGAGTTGTGCACCACTCGATCCAAAACCACCAGCTGATCCCCATTTTTATAGACAATAGGTAGCATGAAAGCAGAAAGCGTTTGCAACCAGTCAGATCATTTTTCGTAAGTCACACATCTTCAACTGATAACACACAACATTTTTTCTGTAATAGACTACCGGCATTTTTAAACCTAGAAAAAGCTTTTTTAATTAAAAAAAATAAAAAAGAAGAAGAAAAAAAGTTGTGTTCTCAAACTTACTCCAAGGAGTTAACATTTAAAGAAACAGGAAGATTTTTTAACCGTGCACATGCACTTTGCTGTCTCTCGCCTCCCAAAGTCTGCATTTTCTTTCCATATACCACACTATCTTTTACTGAGGTGTCTCGTTACAGGGTTGAACCCTGTCCATCTTTTCAATAATGTTACGTGCAGGTATTCCTTCACGTTTTAGAACAACAGAAACTCAAATTTTGTTTTGCTTCCTCCAAGTTTTGTAACATACAGGCCAGAAGACTCAAGGACAAGTAAATCAGGAGAGTCCGCTGAAAACAGGCAAACATTGTGCTTTATAACTTGGGAGCTAAAGCACACTTTAAACAAAGAGCCTATGACTAGTTCATCAGATAAGGCTTATATCTTTCTCCCTGGAATTTAATAACACTTCTTCTAAAAACACTTTTCGGTCAGCTAGAGTTGAAGTTCCCAGAATTGCAAGGCTGCTTAATTACAACAAAACACGCATGGAGTATAATTCCCAGCTCACTGTACAAATTTCCTTGAAAAAAAAAAAAAAAAAGCTTTATGGAGTAGATGATCAACCCTCAAACGAGGTATTTTTAGGAAGGAGTCAATCCAGCAATAGGCTTGACTCTTCTCAACTCCAGCAAGCATGTTCCGTAAGCGCTGCGCCCTGCAACACCCTTGGGGTGATGCCCTCCCCTCCTCTCCGCGGGGTCAGGATTTTACGTTAAGCCTCATTTAACACGGTCTGGCCTAAACCATACCAAGCCACTGCAGCTTGCTCTGGTTTTACCGCACCGCCAGACCGGGTGCTGCGACCGTCCCGACACTACCCTAGAGCGGAGCTTCCCGCGCCACACGGCAGCAGTAGTTTCACCCCCAAGAGAGGAGGCAAAGAGCCCAGAAGACGACTGGAAGTTTATCCGGCGTGATTCATTCTTTAACCAACAGAACAAACACGGCCGGCGCAACGGCAGGAGCAGCCCCTTGGGACGCCGGCCGACACCAGCTGCACCCGGAGCCCCGAGGAAGAGCCCCCGGCGCCGGCAGCTCCGCGGGCCCGGCCCTGCCCCCGGAGACCCCCAAGGCCGCCCCGGGCCCGCCTCTGCGGCCCCAGGGAAAGGGCAGGTGGTGGGTTTTTATAGAGCGTAACAGACACGCAGCGCCTCACCGACCGGAGCAACATTTTACGCTGGGAGGAAGGCGGGCGGGGGGACGTCACACCCTGT